GGGTGCTGCCCCCATTGCTGATTGGCTCGGCCTTGGCTAGCAGCAGGTCCGTCTTGGAACAGGCTGGCATCGGCTGTATTGGACATAGGGGAAGCTTCTAGCAGCTTCTCACAGAAGCCACCCCTCTAGCTCCCCCGCTACCCAAACCCTGCCATGCAAACCCAATACAAGATTATTTTTCAAAAGTCTCACTTCTTGATTCTGAAACAAAAAGCATAATCAATAATAATAATAATGATAACAATATTGTTCAATTATCAAACTACCAAAATAAAACCAGAAGTAGGTAAAACATCAGCCTAAATAGCAAAGCTCTTGCTGAATCACATGGATAAAGTGCACAGCAATTGTCAGAACATAGTATTTTTGAATTCCTGGGACATCTGCATACAGGAAAGGAATCTTTCTTCCACATAGATTTTACAATTAATGTAAATACACAAAAAGTAGAAACTTCAAAGCAAATCTATATGAAACCTGTTTTAAACAACCATTTGCAGACACTACCACTAAGTTCACATGAAACATGTAACAGCTACAGTATATGCTTACAAGAAAGTACTGCCCATTATGACAGAAAAAGGTCATGATGTTCCCCATTTATGATGAAGACAGCTTCGAGATCCTCACTGGTTTAATTTGTCAGTCCCAACACCTTTCTAAGTAGTACTTCCAAAACAACATCCACCAAGACTTTGTGACACAAATCTATGTCTTCTACAGAAAAAATGCTTGTCTCCAGACAACAATCCTGAGTATCTGATAAAATCTACAGGTTCTTGCCCTATGCTGCTTTCTGCTCCTGCATTATGTCTCAATTTCATCCAGTGTAATAAAGTACTGCAAAGAGAGAATACAGTGCAGCTTGACAAAAGAGGCCTGCTGGGGCTAGCTGCTGAATATAATTCAAGTAATGCAAATCTTAGGCTGCATGTCATTGTAGTTAAGGACGTTTATGATAAGTCATTAAAAGCAAAAAAATGTTAACTGTAGTGTAGTCATGTCCCTGGTCCCAGGGAAATTCCAAAAGCAGTGACGTGCAGGTATTAAAAACAGCGAAATTCTTCATTTCAAGGAGGATTTCTTTTTTCATGGGATGACGAAAAGAGATCTAAACCTTTGTCATTTAAAATTAAAGTTCTTAATAAAGGATCTACACAGTCTTAGGCAAAAAGAGTTGTGCCCTTCTTGGAATTAACTGAGTCTCAGTGTTTTAACTGATGCACCTACTGCAGCTTTTTTGTGACACTGAAATTACAAGACAAGGATTGCAAGTTAGCTGTAATAGGGTAATACTGTCAGAGAGAATAATGACGAGTGAGGAACTTAAGTACTTCAGACGTTATTTTTAAAAATAACATTTGAAATAGAAATAATTACAGCCATGTATTATTAGTTCAAATATCGCAGTCATAAATCTGATTTAGAAACATGTTTTCATGTTGTATGCAACATAAAAATATACATCCAGGTTACATTGTCAAATCTCTATGAGATTCGTTACCAATCTTACACAAAATGGCAGTAGGTGAAGCAGAAAGCATGAGGTACTTGCTTGCTAATACAAGTATAGGAGACCTGCCAGTGCAAACAATTAAATATTGTTCTTACTCTTCCAGTTGGGATGACTGTCCACCTAAATCCTCTGCACAGGTACTCTCTTATTTGTATGCACTTACAGTAAAAGAGAGACAAAGTGTGGATGTAATATACTTGGGCTTAATTAGCATCCTTGGTATCACAGATGAAGATATTAATTTCTCTGCTTTTGCCATACGGCACCTCTTCAATTAAGGCAGGAACCTTCTACTTTGTGGTCTCTTTCTGTTAACCATTAACATATAGGGCCAGAATTTGTAGCTACTTAGGCACCAAAAAATACACACTGGATGGTATTGATGTGAGCAACTGATAATTCCTGCCAGCAGACATCAGCAAGGGAGAGTTGGAACAGCCACAGTTTGCACTGCTAGGAATCTGCTGAAAAAGAATCCGAGTCTTCTCAGAGAACGTTTTCAGAAGCCTACTGGACTTTTAAAGTTTCTGTTTTGCCAAACCGCTGAATGCATTTCTTTGATGATGGCAGGAAGAATAGAATTACTGTCTAGTTTGTTCCTAGAACTGCAGGAACAGGCTTTAAAATCAAGCTAAAATGTTTTCTCGATACGCAGACCTTGGAGTTTTTATTGCATACCATGATCAGATGGAAAATTCAGGCATGGTTTTGCATCTGAGTTTCAAAGAGTTTAAGCAGTTTAGGCTCAGTACTGTAGACCTACTGAGTAAGATTACTACACTTTTCAGCAGTTACTACATTGCTGCATGTATAACTGAAGTAGTTTAGGACTTGCACATATTTCACCTTGTCCTGAGGAAAAGGTCGTGTAAGTAGAGCAAACGTTGCACCATGATTCAGCCGATTCTGAAGGAGATTCAAACCCATGTGGCTCTGAAAGATTTAGAAATAAGGCATCCTGGTGATGTGTGGTTTTACTGCAGTTACGAGTGCATTCTAAAACAATTCATGAATTTTCACATCCCTGTAAGACTGACAGGATTCTGGTTTTAAGGACACACTAAATGAGGTTCATAGTCCATCGTGTTTTATTCACCACCCTTCATGCTTCTTTGAGCCAAAGCCACTTTGAAAGCACTATCTGCAACATGGAAGAAACAAGGATAAGAATTTTCATATTTATGAACATGAAAATACAAGGAATCGTGGCAGTATGCCTAAAGTTATGTAACTTCATTAGACCTTGGAAATTAGAAGTTTTTGAGGAGAATTAAAAAACCCAGAAACATCTTTTACATTTTTTTCTACGAGCAAGTTTACTCGCCTGAACTCTTAATATGTGACTGAGAGGGCTGCCAGTGGTTGTCCTGTAGCGGAGGACAGCACTGTACCCTGAAGATGACCTGCCATCCTGGCAGACCTGTGAGATGCTGAGTCACTTCAGTAGAAATCTGAGCAGTGTTCTGTTCACACAGATGTCAGCAGTAAGCTGACATGGGATCCCCCGTTGGCACAGAGAAGACTGTGGCCTCCAGGCTCAGCTTGAAGAAATGGTATGAGCAGGAAGCCCAGAAACCTGGTTGCTAATACTCAGCCAGATTTTAAACAGTTTTGTTATGGGTGTGAAGTGCCTTCAAAGTATCTTGCAAAGGTACCTTTGATTATAAAATTGGGAAAAACACGGAGATTATTAATGGATTTCTATGGGGACTGCAGGAACACACAGAACTCCAGTTCAAGTGGAAAAACTGCTGTCCAGGTGGCTGTGACTGTCATGTATGTAGACAGAGTTCTCAAATCTCATGGAAATCCCAGGGAGAAATTTTGGTTCATGTGACTTGGCAGGTGCTCCGCAGACACTCCACTGATGGATGTACCCTGTTCCTTCTCAGCTACTGCTCCAACTAGGCTTGAAATCACACTGCACCTCCTGGTGCTAGTGAGCTGTGGGACATGAAGAGGGATGAGGGAAAAAGACGGACTGAACCCCCTTGCCTTGGTAAGTCTGCAAATGTTATGAATTTCTAACTGTGCAAGAGTCGCTAATAGAAATCACATGCTTATCCATGGTCACCTACACTAGGCCTAGCAGTTCATCAACAGTAAGCAGTTTTTTCAGGTGGAGAGCTTCAAGCCCAGCTGACTGCTGTGGAAGATTCACCCATATTTTGTGCAGTGGAAAGATCCATCATACAAAAAAAGGTTTTTTTCAGTAAGAAAATGAAAATCGTATCCTAAGCAATATGAATGCTACTTAACCTAGGACACTTCTGTTCCCCTGACTTAAGAATGCCTTCTGTAGAATATTTGAATAAGACATAGAAGCTTTACCTACACCCTAAGGAGCTGCAGACTTAAAAAAAGAAAGTTAATTTGAAAAACTGACTGGTAGAAGAGAATCCCGAAGATGCATGCTGCCAGAGCCCAACTTTGGAAGAGTAAGTGGACAGGAGTAGATGTAAATGGATTTAACAGCTAGCTTTTTCACAACTAAATAGGAAGATATGTGATTTAGTCACAAAATAAGAGAAGCCCTGTGTTCATACATTTCTCTAGAGACAGCTTATAAGAAATATGTTTGCCTTTGTGTAAGAAATTTATAGAAAGCCTGCTGCATAAATGTTCCCATGTATGTGTATTAGTGCATGGACACAGTTACATTTAATGTACACAAGCTGCCGATCACGTTTTGGGTTTTATTTGTCTAAATTATCTCTTTCTAATGTAGTGTCTATTTTTACGTTACTGCTGTCTCTCAACAGAAAAAAACACTCAACTCAAGAACTGGAAATGCGGAGGTTGTAATTTCTTCAAACAATACACAATAAACTTCAGAGGAACCTAAGTGTCAATAAGATGGTACGTTTTTTCATTGTCTGTTATCCTTCTTCAGTCTCACTCTCTCTCTCCATTTCCTTGTGTTAGCAAACAAAGAACAACCACAATTATGTCCCTGATAAAATGTGCTTCCTTAAACCAAACTAATTCTTTGTACACGAGTAAATTCTGCATGCTGTGGGGAGGTAAAGCATTGCTGATGTGGTAGACTGTGGGTAAGTAGGTAAATACAGACCACAGTGAAAGGAAAGGCCGGGAGCAGTGGTAGGCTGCATTCTTTTATTACTACAGGAAGGGATGAAACAGTGTATCATCTCTGGCTGTCTTCCCATTCCTATCCCCTCAGTGAGTAAGAAAGACATTCTAATTAAAATGGTTTCATTTAGCATGTTAGACACAAAGGTTCAGTGACACTGACAGAAAGGAAGACAGACTGCTCCACCGTGGGTCCCCCATGGGCCGCAGCTCCTGCCAGAAAACCTGCTCTGGTGTGGGCCCTCCACCGGCTGCAGCTTCCCCCAGGGCACGTCCACCTGGTCTGGCGTGGGGTCCTCCATGGGCTGCAGGTAGTTATCCGCTCCACCTTGGACCTCCACGGACTGCAGGGGTACAACCTGCTCCACCATGGTCTTTACCAGGGGCTGCAGGGGAACCTCTGCTCCAGCACCCGGAGCACCTCCTCCCCTCCTTCTCCACTGACCTGGGTGTCTGCAGGGCTGTTTCTCCCACGTTCTTCTGAATTCTCTCACGGCTGCCGTGCAGCATTTTTTGCCCTTTCTTAAATACGTTGTCACAGAGGTGCCACGAGCCCTGTTGAGGGGCCCAGCCGTGCCCTGCGGTGGGCCTGTTGGAGCCAGCTGGAACCAGCCGTGTCCGGCACAGGGCAACCCCCAGTCTCTCCTCACAGGGGCCGCCCTCCATCCCCTCAGACTTGCCATGCAAACCTAATACCTCACGCTGTAAAACCCCAGGGGTTTGCTTATCAATGAAACATTTTAACTGAATTTCAAACCTAATTGTTGCAGTTCCAGGAACAAGCTGGAGGATAATGGCATTCTTCCCGCCATCACCGAAGAAACGCGTTGTGGCTGTTGGGCAGAGCGCAACCCTTCGGTGGGCGGGAGGCCTCAGCGCTTGCTCCCTCGGGGCAACCGTGACCCAGATTTTTCAGTTTGATTCAGCAGATCCCCATGCCAGCGAACAGCACGAGAGTCAAGCTCTTTGGAGACGTACCTTAAATTCAACTTGTTTGAGTCATTGTGCTAATAATAGTTCAGCCACTTCCAAATAGCTGAGATGAAATAATTTCTCTATTTGCCTAGCCTGGGGAAAAACAGTCTTCAAAAAATGGTAATGGCGACCACACTTAGACGCCTAGGACAAGCTGCTTGATATCTTAAAAGCAAACAACAGCGGCGGGCCGGTGTGAAGCCCTCGTACTTCCCTCAGCAGTCGCACGCAG